AAAAGGATACTGTTAAATGGCGAAAATTAAAATGAAATATTAACATTGAAAAGTAATTATAAATTAAAAGTGACAAATCGATATAGATAATAGATTAGGATTTTTTTACTTTTCAAACGTTACTTATCGATTACAATGATAATTTGTCAAACAATTTGATTACAACTTTATCTTTCATATCGTTATATATAAATGTGTTTTATTTAACCCAAGTAATGTACTTCAAAATATATATATATAGCTTCGTTGCTTTTAACGATAAGGAAATAAATTTCAAAGAGATTACATATTATTTTGTTTAAATAAAAGTAAAATATATTCGGATTAATAAAAAAAAAATTTGTCTCAAGGTCTTCGAGAATTTTTTTTTTTTTTTTTTTTTTTTTTTTTTTTAGAATGGTCATCGATATTTTAATATCTTAATAAATAAATAAATATATAATAATATAATTAAAATCTTAATAAATAAAATCTTAATAAATAAAATAATTCTTATCTATAATAAATACCTTATATATATATATAATAATATTATACATAATATTATAGTATAATGTATTATACATAAAGATACATATATATATATATATTTTTTTTTATATATCCATTATAGCTATGTATAAAAATAAATATATACATATATAAACTTTTATTATCGTTATCTATTGCAGTGATCGAAGAGCCAGGGGATGATGGCGCAAAGCGAAAGAATAACTTTTTGGATTCGACATTACGATTGGCAAATCGTTGGGTCAAATTCACTTGTTCTAAAAGAAAATTATATAAAAGATTACCAATTTTAAGTTGGTTACCACGTTATAACAATCAAGATGCACTTGGAGATTTGGTTGCTGGTATTACCGTAGGATTGACTGTTATTCCACAATCGCTTGCATATGCAAATGTAGCTGGACTACCAACAGAGGTGATTCCCAATTGTATTATATTTAAAATGACAATGATACATTTACATAGAATTATTTATAATATTTATTATTTTGTAATTATTTATAATATTTTATAGATAGTTAAAAAAATGTCTACCAATTAAATCTCTCAATTTTGTTTTTCTTTTTATTATACAGTATATCAAAGATATCTTATTAAATTTAATATATGTATAAAATCATAAATTAAAAGCCAATTAAATATCTCGTTTGTTAGAGAACAATAGAAAAAAAAAAAAATATATATATATACATTTTTTTTCGTGAATTAAAAAAAAATCCTTCATGACTTGATATTTCAAATATTTTTTTAAGAGTAAACATTTGAAAACATAATAGGTAAAAAGAAGATAATAAAAAAAAAGGAAGAGGGAAAGAAAAACAATAATTCGTTTATTTATATCTAAATAAAACAACAACAATTTATTTAATTATATATCTAAATAAAATAACAATAAGACAAAATATATAAATAAACGACACTCTCATAACAATTATAGTATAATAATCTAGACAAATTTATAATTAAAAAAATATTAGTCTCGTTGTTGTTGTTATTGTTGTTTATTTAAATATAAAGTATTAAAAATTCCGACATTTTTATATTAAATTAAGAAATTTAACTTGAAGATATATCTTAATTAGTAATAAAATTTTGATAACTCTTTCTTTCTCTTCCTCTCTCTCTCTCTCTCTCTCTCTCTCTCTCTCTCTCTCTCTCTCTCTCTCTCTCTCTCTCTCTTAATTAAAATTTAATTCAATGTTTTCATAATATATAATCAATGAAATTTTACAGTACGGATTATATGGCAGTTTTTTGGGATGTTTCATTTACATAATATTTGGTTCCTGCAAAGATGTACCATTTGGTCCTACTGCTATACTTTCTTTATTAACTCATCAATCTGTTGCTCATTTGGACGCGTCAGAAAAGCATGCGATATTATTATGCTTTTTAGTAGGTGTCGTGGAATTAATCATGGGAATTTTCGGACTCGGTAAGTAATCAAATATAATATATTATTCTCGTATCATATTTAACGCTAGATTTATTAACATTGATAATATATATATATATATATATTCTTACTGAAATGTGAAATGTCAATTAAAAAGCGGGCTTTTTTTTTTTTTTTTTTTTTTTTTTTTTTTTTTTTTTTTTTTTTTTTCGTTATACTAGTTCACGCAACTATGTAAATAAAAGTCAAAAAATACTGTTCTTTTCCAAATAGACAATATATTTTGTTTAATTAAAATGTAATAAATTAGACTTTCAATCATTTTTAGGATTTTTAATTGACTTTGTATCCGGTCCGGTTAGTTCTGGATTCACTTCGGCAGTAGCACTGATAATAGTTACGTCACAAGTAAAAGATATCCTAGCTGTCTCTGCCAAGGGATCTACCTTTGTACAGATGTGGAAAAGCATTGCCGAGTGCCTTTATCAAACATCGATATGGGATACTACGCTTGGTATATGCTGCATAGGTATCCTATTAATACTCAGGGTAAGTTTTAAAAATTTAAATATGATATTAATGAAATATTAATATTTCATTCGTATCATCAGATGATATCTTCCTTCACAATTGGTCCTGACAATGAAGAACTTCGTACGAAAAAGCAGAGAATAATAAATACGCTTATATGGTTGACCTGTACCTCGAGGAATGCACTTCTTGTTATTGTTTGCGGTTTATTAGGATATCTTTTTAGTACCGCACATGATGCACCCTTTCAAGTAATCGGTATGATCACGAATAAATAAATAAATAAATATATAATAATATTGATCTAATGTAAATGAAACTAATTAAACTTCTTTTGATTATATAGGTCCCATACCAGGTGGTATGCCCACTTTACAACCACCTCCATTTGGTTACATCAAAGACGATAATACTACAGTCACTTTTATAGACATGTGTACGAATTTGGGAAGTGGTATTCTTGTTCTTCCACTTATTTCTTTGATGGAGGATGTGGCTATCTTCAAAGCATTTTGTAAGAAAAAATTTATTCATTAAAAAAAAATATACCATAGACGTATATACATGTATTATGATTATAATTTTACTATTTGTAAATTTAGCACAAGGAAAGTCAGTTGATGCCACACAAGAATTAATAGCTATTGGTTTAGCGAACGTTGGTAGTTCCTTTGTACAGGCTTTTCCAGGCACAGGATCTCTTAGCAGAAGTGCCGTATATCATGCTTCTGGAGTTAGAACACCAATGAGTGGTCTATATGCTGGTATGTTATAAAAATAATTATTGATAAACTTTAGTATGTAAAGAAAATTTTAATACATGCATTTTCTTTTTCTATAGGATTATTGGTGATATTGGCACTTCTTTTCCTTACACCTTACTTCAGTTATATACCAAGAGCTAGCTTAGCAGCAATCATCATATCTGCCGTTGTCTTCATGGTCGAAGTGAAGGTCATTAAGCCAATGTGGAGAACCAAAAGTGAGAATTAGGTTATTAATCAATGTAGAAATAAATAAAAATACAATTAATTGTATCTCTTGAGGAAAATTTGAAATAAACATTGTTGTATTAAAATAAGATTCATAATAAATATATCTTTTCTAGAGTCTGATCTAATCCCAGGATTAGGAACTTTCATTGCTTGCTTGGTGCTGCAACTTGAGATTGGAATTCTCTGTGGGATTGGTATGAATGTATTATTCATTCTTTACCATGCAGCAAGACCAAAAATATCTGTTGAAAAATTAACTGTAAATATATATTTTTATATATTGTATGAAATATATATTAATTATTATTCAAAGAAACAGTTGATTAAAGTATTATAAATTAATTATTTCATTGTGCAATAAGATTATGTTAGATCATTCAAATATATATATATATATATTGTACTTTTTTGAAGCAGACTGTTTCTAGTATTTTATTATATTTCTTTGTGTGCGTGTATATATATATATATCCACACAAACATATACATATATGTGTATATATATTTATCTTTTTTACACATTTTAGACACACTGCGGGATCGATTATCTGATGTTGACACCAGATCGTTGTTTGATCTTTCCTTCTGTGGATTATGTGAGAAATTTAGTGACTAAATATAGTCATAGGACAGAAAGCGTAGAGACACCAGTTGTGATAGATTGTTCACATATTTATGGAGCAGACTTTACAGCTGCTACGGTCGTCGAAAGTCTGACCAAAGATTTTGCAGTTAGAGGTCAACCCCTTTTCTTCTACAATTTAAAACCCTCTGTCTATGCTGTATTTGAAGGCATCGCACCGACAAATTTTGTTGTTTATTATGCTCAAGAAGCATTGGACGATTTATTAAAAGAAAGAGGCTATTTCAATCACATTAAACGAGTTTCACTATCGACATAAGTTTAAATCAATGTGTCTTCAAGGAACTGTGTATCACTTAAGAGTGTTCGATTTGACAAAGCAAAATGAAATGCTGATAAATCGATTATCACAAAGACATGGTACAATTAAATAAACTTAATAATAGAAAATTTATGAGTAGTTAAAAGTGTGTTTCTACTGATTCATTTCTTATCCTTCAATATGTATATATAATTTATAAATGCATCTCGACTATAAAGGAAACTTTGATTTTCTTAAATCTACAGATCATTTTTTTTAACCTATTAAATATTCATTTTTCTTTTCTACTTATTTGAGTGTAATTTATTATTAAAAAAAAAAAAAAAAAGAAAAAAGAGAGAGAGAGAGAGAAAAAAATACATGCATAATCAAAAAATATGACGAATCAAAGCTTTCACTTATCTCGAATAATATCATTGTATTATTATTATAGTTATCACAGTTAGCTTTAGAATTTCGAATGACAATAAATAATATCATCAAATTGAAAATAATGCTCAAGAGCCGATCGTTTATTGGCTCTTACACGGATACAACATGGCGCACGATGGAACCATCCAATCAATCGAGTGTCCGCGAGACGTCACGTGACTCGTAACTGTTGCATTTGGAAGTACTAATAGCGTCATGAGCCAATCGGAATTTGTTCGAAGTGTTCACAACGAATACTCTCGCGTAATAACGTGGTATATGTAGAGTGAAATAAAGAGGGAAAAAAAAAAGATGTCGGAAAGGAAAGGAGTAAACGTACAGGTCGCGTATGGTGCCATCTGACGGCCGTGTGCGAGCAGTAGGAACAGAGCGATATGCAGAAGGTAGTCCTGCTCGCCATATTTGTTATTATCGTCGATGGGGTAGGCTAGCTGGCGGAGTATCGGAGTGGTGAGGTGTGCGGTGCGTAATGTTTGGATATTCGTAAGATTAGAAAGGCTTCTAGCGGGCTAAGATATTCGGCCGTTGAGCTAACTAGTGAACAAATTATCCTGTATTCACGGTGTGAGAGAAGCGGTCTCTTATATAAAACTGCTAGGGCCACGGAGGCTCAGCTGTCTTGTTCAGTAGTGTCGAGTGCGCGTTTATTCTGTTTATGTATGTATGTATGTATATATATATATATATATGTGTGTTTGTGTGTACATACGTACGTACGTACGTATTTATGCATGTGTATGCATGATACCGTGTACCTGAAATTTGTGCCGCTCTTCTTCATTATTTGACATTGGAGCTGCAATTGCCAGTGCTTTTTGTTATTGTTATTATTGTTAATATTTGTGTTAAGTGACGTTCTTATTACGAAAAAAAAAAAGAAAAAAAAAAGGGCAAATATAGCTATATCGAATGTTAAATGGTGGTGAAGGTGGAGAAATTGGTGAAGGTGAACACCACACTTTTGCTACTGCTGCTGTCTGTTGCTGCTGCTGCTGCTGCTACTGCTGCTGCTGCTGTTGCTGCTCCTGTTGCAGCTAGGCTGTGGTAGTAGTGGTGGTGGTAGTAGGTAGTAATCGCGTAGTAGTGTAGTAGGTAAGAGTAGTGTAGTAGTATATTAGTAGAGTAGTGGTAATAGTAGTAGCAGTTGCACTGGTAAAATAGTAGCAACAGTAGTAGACTAGTGAGAGATAAATGCAGCAGTAAGATTGGTAGTGTAGTACAGTAGTAGCCCATTGGTGGTGTGGATGGTGATATAGACAAGGAAAGGGTATAAGAAGTAATAAGAGAGAAATAGAGAGAAATAGATAGAGAGATAGATAGATAGGTAGGTAGATAGATAGAAAGAAAAAGAGAAAGAGAGAGAGAGAGAGAGAGAAAAAAAAATCATTAAAAATAATTTTTATCAGGGACTATTTTGGATGTTCCTAAGTGAATAGGTTAGAGGGTGGATATAATATATCCGGCGGGGTTCAATGTAAACCTGAATAAAAAGAATTTAGACGATACATACGGTGAGAGTTAAGTCGAGTGTTGTGGTGGTGGTGTGTGTAACGTGTGTGTTTGTCTTCTTCTGTCGTCGGTCATGCGTTCGTTATACTAAGAAGCGTAAGAAGAATAAGTGAGAGAGAGAGAGAGAGAGAGAGAGAGAGAGAGAGAGAGAGAGAGAGAGAGAGAGAGAGTGAGAGAGAGGGGTTGCTCTCTCCTGCACGGGGTCGGGGTCGTCGCACGTTCTTGACGCGGGTCTGTCGACCCGCCAAGGTCTTTGTGTTCCGTTTCTTCTTGGACTTGCTACGTCGTGATAATATAATTTCTTTTTTTCTTTCTCGTATTTTTTTACGAAATAAAAAATAATAAATAAATAAATAAATCACAAGTTATATACATACATACATATATATATATATATGTATATGTATATGTATGTATGTATGTGTGTGCGTGTATATGTGTATATATATATTTGTTTGTATATGTATACACATATATGTAACTTTGTACACATCGCTTATTTTCATTAATTCTTTACTTTCGATTTTTTTCTTGTACCTTCTCGAGGCTTTAGTTATTTATTCATTTATTTATCTATTTCTTTATTTGTTTATTTTTTGTTCTCTTTTATTTTTCTTCACCACTCAACATTGTTTTCTTTCTTTCTTTCTATTCTTTCTTTTTAATGATTCGTCGTTGCTTCGTTTTGTTTTGATTTTTTTTTCTTCTTCTTCGTCTTCTTCTTCTTCGTCTTCTTCTTCTTCTTCTTCTTCTTCTTCTTCTTCTTCTTCTTCTTCTTCTTTCCAGGACGAGTTCCTCACATTTTTTCGCGAGTTGTGTAGTTAAAAGAAAAAAAAAAATAAATAAAACGAAACAAACAAACAAACAAATAAAGAAAAAAAAAGAACGAAAGAAAAAAGGAAAATAAAGATAAAACCAAGTGAGTCAGCTTAAAACTTATTGTCAGTCATTCGTTCATCTTGACACGTGCAATATTCTCGCACTTTTTTTTTTTTTTTTTTTTTTTTTTTTTTTTTATATCAACGACTTTGTATTCAACGATTTTTGTTCTTATTCGTCTGAATGTTGACATCATAATACGTATATATTTCAATAATACAAGCTCGAAATTATTTATTTATTTATTTATTTATTTATCTGTATGATCGGCCATTTTAAATTTAGTTGCATGTACGTAATTCATACTACGATTTTTAATCCGATCGTAAAGATTCAGATCAATTTTTAATTGATCCTAGAGAGATTCAGATCGATTTCCTTTATGTTATTCGTAGAGGAAACTGAAAAATCGTGGATATATTCTTTTTTTTTTTTTTTCTTCTTCTTTTCTTTTTTCTCTTTTCCTTTCTTCTTTTTCTTTTTTCCCCCTCTACTGAACTCGGTGAAGAACATTGAAAACAAAGAGAAAGAAAGAGAGAAAGAGAAAACGCGCGCGGCAACGAAAGACAGAAAGAAAGAGAGAGAGAGACAGAGAGAGAGAGAGAGAGAGAGAGGGAATGAGAGTGAGTGAGTGAGTGAGTGAGTGAGAGAGAGAGAGAGAGAGTGAGTGAGTGAGTGAGAGAGAGAGAGAGAGAGAGGGAGGGAGGGAAAGACAGGAAAAAGTCGATACGCGTATTTACAGAGAACAAGCTTGCTGCCATTTTATATTGCACGTGAGCCCGTAGTTCTGCCCGCGCTTACGATTCGATCTGTCAGAATAATATTTTCGTTTTCAAACCCTAGTGATTTATTTTGTAAAGTTTCTAAAGGATTAATTGTCCATATTATCATCGTGAGTTCTTATATTCCGGTATCAAGAATATATGGATTATATTATATAGGTAAAAATATACGTTTTATTATTATTTAAGTCATTACAACCTCAAATATATAATCGTAAAAATAATCGATTTAAATCTCGCTTCGATATTCATGCTACATCGATATATGTATATATATATATATATTTTTTTTTTGTCTTTTTTTTTTTCGATTTATATTGACTATTTATATTACTCGAAAACTCGATTAATTATCAGGACTTATTAAAATCTAAAATGTAATATCGTAAAATGTAACACAAACATCGAAACGAAAATATCGATATATTTCGTTTCGACATTTGTGCTGTATCGATATCTAATTTTCGAAGTTGTCAAAGTCATATTTAAAAACTCAACTAAGTTCATATTTTGTCAGCTGGTAACTAAAAATATGTCAACTTGCACGTAAATATATTTATGTACATATATATATATGTATATATATGCATAATCGATATATATTTATTAATATATATTTATATATACATTTATATATAGTAATATATATTTGCATAATCGATATCGTATGTAGATATATATATATATATATATATATATATATAATTGGTATATATTATCTATATATTATTCTCGAGAAAATTTTAATCGATTCGATAAAATCTCAATGTGATTTATTCACTTATGTTAAATAATGAATCTATATATATCGTGTGCTCGTTTGAAATTGTTCGATTCGTAAAAAAATTCAGAAAAATATTGAAAGATCTTTGGGATAATACTTAAATCTCCTGAGACGGGATTTGAGACTTCTGCGCTTTTAAATCCAATCGCTTTGAATCCAACCGAATTGTTAGCTGTTCAAATAGGAACTCGAAACAATTTTGAAAATAATTCTTTAAAACTGTTATAGAAAGATTTTTATTAGAACAATTATGAACGGATTTGATTTTGAATAATTTTTTACGAGAAATTTCCAACTCGTTATCTGTTTCCCATTATGATTTCTATTTTTCTTACTGATATCGATTTTATAAACGTTAAGTTTATTTTTTTTTCTCGACTTTATATCGTTATATCGTTTCTAGTATTCGTTTTCTTTTCTTTTTTCTTTTTTCTTTTTTCTTTTTCTTCAATCGATATCATGTGCATTTTTTTTTCTTTCTTTTTTTCTTTTTTTTTTTTTTTTCTTACGAAATCATTATAGAAAAATAATTTATTTACGCATCATTGGTTCTTTAAAACAAACTGTTGAAATAAATATTGTAAAACAACCAAATATTATTCGCGCTAAATATTTTACGCACGCTACAACGGCACGTAAAACTCCATTACATTATTCATGATAAGAAGTTAATAAAACGAAGTTCATTAAGAAATTTTTTTTGTCTCAAATATTTCTACTATTTTGTATTATAGTTGATATAAAAAAAAAAAAGACAAAAAGATATAATATGATATAATAAATATGAATTATAGAAAATTATCTGTATAGAGAATTATCTGTAAATGTTGCTCTCTCTCTTTTTCTTTTTTTTTTTTTTTTTCTTCATCTTTTTTTTTCTTGTAAAAACGATCTTGTAAAAAAAATTATCCAAATATGATTAATCCGCAGGCTGAAATATGTACATTAATTATATCGATTATGAAAATGCACGATGAAAAAACACGATAAGAGAGATTAGAAATCAAAATAAGAACCGTAATCGAAACGAATAATAGTCGGAAACTTTATTTATACGGAATAAAGATTCTTTAAAAATGTTTTAAGAAACGAATTCGATGTTACGACTATTTTTAAGCCTCGCTTTCAATTCTATCGGCCAAATAATTTCGCGAATGTGTACTCATTAAAAACAATGGTATTTATCTTACAGCTGCTGTTGCTGTAGCTGCTGTTATCTTTTCTCAACCCTTTCGGTCCCTTGTTCATCCTTCACCCACCCCCCCCCATATCCATTTACAGTTCACCAAAAAATGTAATTTCTTCATTTCTTTCTTAAACTTTTGTTAATACTAATACAGCAAATAAATAATACTCGTCGGAGTGATATTTTCCTTTGGGATTTCTTTTGAACTTGTCGTGAAATTATTCGAAAAAATTTCGAAGATTTTATTGGATGGGAGGATGATTTTATCGTTAAAACGTATAGATAGACGATAAAAAGATGAGAGATCACATAGCTTATCTTCAACATTGATAACCATTTATGTAATTACTTTCATCGTAGATGAGAAATGAGGAATAAGGTTTAAGGGATTAGGTGTGAGGTTTAAGGATAAGAAGAGGAGTCTTCGACTTAAATCCCATTTAAACTTTGCATGTGATCGTACTTGGATCTATTTTGCGTACGTACGTACGTACACACATACATACATACATACATACATATAAACGCATATGCATGCACGGATAGATGCATGCATGCATGAATCTCCAATTCGATTGGATTTTAGCTCGAAAGAGAGCGCATAATTTCTAAATTTAAATTTAATACGATAGAAATAACGAATAGATGATAATTTGAAATTTTTACGATATAAAATGAGAGGCGCTAAAACATTTTGGTATCTTTTTTTTTCTCTCTCTCTCTCTCTCTTTCCCTTTTTCCATTGATAAAGTATATCATAGAAGAGAGAGAGAGAGAGAGAGAGAGAGAGAGAGAGAGAGAGAGAGAGAGAGAGAGAGAGAGAGAGAGAGAGAGAGAGAGAGAGAGAGAGAGAGAGAGAGAGAACTTTGAATAGTGTTTTTCAAACTGCGATTATCTTGCGTATCGTTATATGTGTATAAATTCGTTTGTATCATTTAAGGATCTATTATAAATCTATTATAGATCTATTATATGTAATGTATAATATTTTTTCATTTTCTTATCGTAATATTATTGTAATTATCATTTATGTTCAATTATAAATTAAAATTAAAAATGTACACTTCGATATCGACAGTTTGAAAGACATATTATTTTTTTTTCTTTTTTTTTTTTTTTTTTTTTTATGAATCTAAATTATTTCGTTTTTAATTATTTTAACTCTAGTTGTGCACACCTGAAAATAATTTTCAAATTGTACACTTCGGGTGCGTTACCACCTTGTACGAGTACTTTAAACAGCTGTCATTTATACGGAATGAATAATTTTGACTCTTGAGTGAATACTTGTTGACTGAAAAAAAAAGTAAATAAAAAAAATAACTGTATATTCTTAGAAGCCTCCGAAGGAAATAATAATCAGGTAGGTTTGAGAAAAGCAATTCAGTCATTATAAAAAAAAAAAAAAAATTCATTATGAATCATAATGAAATGCTCAAATTGTTTCAATTGAGCTCAAAGTTGGTCTGTGTTGCGTCCTACATTACCTCATAGGCACACAACTAGAGTTAAGATAAAGATAATACACGTGTAAATGTATACGTTGAAATTGTTTGTGTCTTTTTGGAATAAACAGAGAACGAGAAAGAGAGTGGGCGAAAGAGAGAGAGAAAAAGAGAAAAAGAGAGAGAGAAAGGAAGAGAGAGGCAAACAAAGAGGACAGGGAAGGGAACAAACGAACGAGGAAGGACGCGTTAAACTGCTTCATGTTAATAAGCGTTAAACGATACGTGAGGATTAAGAAGGAAGGCCCAGAGTTTCTTGAATTTTGGAGACTGAAGAAACGTGGAGGTGACTGAGAGAAGGAGGAGGAGGGTCGCCGGTGGCGAAGGAAGAAGTTGTTAGAGTTTGGCAGAGAAGGTGGACGAAGACGAGGAAGAGGAAGAGGAGGAGGTGGAGGCGGAGGCGGAGGAGGTGGAGGCGGAGGTGGCGGAGGTGGTGGTGGCGGTGGTGGTCGTGGTGGTGGTGGTGTTCGAGGGAAAAAAAAAGGAAAAAGAAGAAGAGGAAAAAAAAGAAGAAGAAGAAGAAAACGAACGGAAGGGTGACGAGACAGACAGGACAGTGGAAGTGGTTGTGGTTGTGGTTTTGGAGGTGGTTGTTGTTGTTGTGGCGTTGGTGCACTTTGGTGTTGTTGTCGTTGTTGTCATCCGCGGTCGTAGTGATAGTAGTGGTGGTGATCGTAATAAGGTATCGTATCGGAAGCGCGCTCGTAGTGTCGCGTCTGCCGATTCGTACCAGAATTAAAACTGGCGGGCAATCTGGCTCGATCTCCGGTGCCGGTGGGTGCTGGCGGAGGTGGTGGTGGTAGCGGCGGAGGAGGCGGAGGAGGTGGAGGAGGAGGAGGAAACGGAGCTTCTGGAAGTGGTTCCGGTCCCTTCGTTGGACGTGGTACCGGTGGTACTGCTGCTGCTGCTGCTGCTGCTGCTGCTGCTGCTGCTGCTACTGCTGCTGCTGCTGCTGCTGCTATTGCTGGTGGTAGTGGTGGTACTGGTGCTGGTTCTGGTGCTGGTGGTGCTGGTGGTGCTGGTGGTACCGGAATTGGAGATGTCATTGGATGTCCTGGAGGATCAACGACAGGTAACAGCAACAACAACGGAAATGGAAATCAAACAAACGCGAATCATGCGAGTGGAGGTAATGCGAACGGTAACGCGAATGGCGGTACTACTACCATGGCAAATGGATCATCAATCGGAAATAATCCTACATCCCAATCAAACGGAAATCCTAATGGCGGCGGTGGTAGTGGTGGTGGTGTTGGTGGTGGTGCTGGTGGTGGTGGTGGTGGCACCACCTCGTCCGCGGGAAATCCCAATGTACAACCTGCGGTCGATCAACCCGCCCAAGGTGGACAAATTTTGGATTGGGAAGACGTCGATCGTTTCTCGTTCGAGGATTCCGATCATTTCGAAGAGGATTCGCTTTGTAGTTGGAGCAGCGAACCCGAATCACTTTGTAACAATTGGCGAGGATGGCGTCGACCAACCGCAGGATTTGGTACCGCAAAAAGGCCGACGGATGGTAAGTTTTTTCTTTTTTTTTCTTTTCTTTCTTTCTTTTTTTTTTTTTTTTTTTTTTTGAAACATGTACTCGCCGATTTATATATATATATATAATATCGTATGCACGTATCGTGTATAAAAAAGAAATGTATACGATATATCGTATTATTTTACAAGACTGGTAAAAATGTCTTCTTCGTTTTCTTTTTTTTTTTTTTCTAAAGTCATTCATTTTCAAACGTTTATTCGTTCAAACGAAAGTAACGTTTGATCGAGAACGACAGTTCTTAATCGAACGAGACTTGGTTAATCATAATTGTGCACAGTTGAAAATAATTTTCTAGTTACGTATTTCAGGTGAGTTATCACCTCTTCCTCCTCCCCCGTCCTCGGGGCACTTTAAACATCTGCCATTTATACGGAATGAATAATTTTGACACCAAAAAAAAAAGAAAAAAAAAAAAATACCGTATATTTTTTGAAAACGTATATTCAATTCTGTTATTATAAAAAAAAAAAAGAAAAAAATTCATAAATCATAATGCAATACGCAAATTGTTTAAAATTAAGTTCAAAGTTGTTCTGAGATGTCCTGGGTGTCCATAGGCACATCAATTAGGATTAATTATATGATCATGTTCGATCGAAGTATAAGAAAGAAATAAAATTAAACGAAGAGAATCGACGAAAGCATTTGATCGAAGTTCCGATAATAAATTAGAAGTACGATGGTGGTCGGTGAGGGAGGACTCTATGGGGTTGAGGTTGAGAGCTTGTGAGTCGATGCTGCGCCCTAGATTCATTTGTTCGTTCGTTCTCTTGTAACCTGAACGTGCACGCTTGTACACATATTCACGATATCACGATATTTAGATTAAATTCTATGTGTTACCTCGAAAATTTACAGAAAATTCTCTCTATAGGTTTCGACTAAGATATCTTCTCTTTCATCGAAACTTCGTCGAGCAGTTCTTTTTTGTCGTTTTGCTCGTTCATGCCAGAACTAAATACGTCTTAGCTAATGAGAAGCTTCCGAAAGTGGTTTCTACAACGAGAACGTCTTATTACGTAAACTGCGGTTGTAACCCCTTCAATATTGAGTCGTAAATTTAATTAACTCGGGATGATCGTTAACACCAAGCGCTAACATTGTTCGCGAATCTCATGTATTATCGTTGCAATATCGATCCATGTACATTTTACAATACTATTTACTAGTACTATTATTAATAGTAGCAATAGTAGTAGTAATAGTAGTAGTAGTAGTACTGTGGTAATAGCAGTAATGATAGTAATACTGAAACGTATCTTATTAAAAAAAAAAAAAAAACGCTTTCCCTTATCATTATAATTTCGAAGAAAAATATCGTGGCTTGAATAATTATTTTTTTTTTTTTTTTTTTTTTTTAATTACTGTTTATATTTTCTATTAAAACTTTGACTATTTTTATTGTAATTATTTACTAAACATCATGTTGTTATTATTGATATAAATTGTTATTAGTTTCAATGAAAAACAAACGAAAAGAATTGTTCTGCACTTATTCTTATTATTATAACTTTCTAAGAAAAATTATGCTTGAATTATTTTTGAAAATTTGAAGAACCATAGATTTCCTCTTCTAGCGAGCTTAATTTTTTTTTTTCTTTTTTTTTTTTTTTTATATTATTATTATTAACGTTCTATTTTCTATGGAAACTATTACTATTTCTATTCTAATTATTTTCCAAATGCTATAATGGTATATTGTAGAAATTATTATCGGTGATACAAATTGTAATTAGTTTTATATATAAAAAGAAAAAAAAAAATATATATATATATAAAAAATAAATCCTGCATCGGCCGGGAATCGAACCCGGGCCGCCCGCGTGGCAGGCGAGCATTCTACCACTGAACCACCGATGCTACAAGAAATACATTTTAGAAAATAGTAGATATGGAACGATTCATATTATTTTCAATGAATAAAATAATATATTTTCAAAGTATTTCACTTTATTAACAAACAAATATTTCTATATATCATCGAAATATTATTTGAACGCTATTATTTAGAATTATTTATCATAAAGGGATCAATTCATTCAATGAACGATCATTCATCTATATAGAGCACGTCCATGGTTATACGTTTCTTTTTTTCTTTTATTCTTTTCAAGTTGTTTATTATATTCTAAAAATACAATGATTTCATAATTTAATAGTTGTATCAAAATAAATGGAGTATGGAAAATGTGTTCAAAAAAATTTTTTCTTTTTATTTTTTCTGTTTTTTTTTTTTTTTTTTTTTTTTTTTTTTTTTTTATATAAATGCTACTGAAATAATATAAATGTCACGCGGTCATACAGTATCAGAACGTACAGTTGAGAATTGTTTTTATTCTACAAATACTTGTTCGTTCGTTTTAACAAGCTAAAAAGCTGCTAAACAGCTCGGCGTCCTAAAAATCTATATAGAAAAAAAAAAAAAAAAAAAAAAAAAAAAAAAAAAAAAATGGTGTAGCTATGAAAAGACGAGGGGAAAAAAAAAGCAAAAAGAAAGTTCAAACGCGTTAAAGAATGCGCAACGGATTGACGTTTTGGGGAAGTTTATAATTCATTCGTTGATTGACTATAAAATAGGACGAAGCACGTCGGAAACAGGATGGTAAACGTTGATGTATCTTCTAGACGCGCACGTCGATCTGTCAATAATAATGGAAATTAATTTCTAATTGGCTTATTGACGTAATCGATCTTGTTAATCTATGTGACATTGGCAGCACTGAGAGTTTGGTTGATCATCCTCTTATCGAGCCAGTGATATAACTGCTTATACTAATTAATTGTTGAATACTTTGTTAATAGCTCCATATATATATATATATATATATATATATATATATATATATATATATATATAAGAAAAAAGAAAAATATGTATAACTAAAGTTTATGATTTTATATGTCAAATATATTTTGACAGTACGAAATAAATTATCCGATTTTCGGTTTAACAGATAGTTTAATGATTTTCAATTTTTATTATGGATTAATTTTGCATTGTTTTTTTTTTTTTTTTTTTTTTTTTTTTTTTCTCGAACATATACATCCTCTTACGTATGCTTTGAAAAATTATTTTATTATTTTATGGTTCAAAAAAAAAAAAAAAAAAAAAAGGAAAGGAACAAAAACAATCACAAAAAATTCAATATATTAGAAACAGTATGTAAACTTCCAAAAGTTGATTATGATAGATATTTTTCGTGTAATCTCAAGAAAAAAAAAAAAAAAAAAAAAAAAAAAAAATGAAAGAAAACAGATAAAACAAATGAATAATACAAAAAAATCTCTGGCATTTTTCACATCTTTATGTAGGGAGGAGAAAAAGAAAAGATATCTGGCACACTCGAAGGATGAAATTTTCGATAACATTAACCGAACTTTCATGTATTTTATTTTCTAATCTTATATTCGATACGTGTGATCGTGAAACTTTCGTAATATGTATGTCTATGTGTGTGTGTGTATATATAGGATGTCCAAAAAAATGAGATCAAACTTATGTTACGTATTACTGAGGCCAAATAAAAAATTCATATAAACTTATGAAAATAAAATATATATCTTTTCAATAAAGCATTTTCGGGTATAAATTTAATATGAATTGTTTTTATCTATTTGACCTCATTTACATATTTGACCTCATACGTAGTATAAGTTTGCCCCCATATATATATATATATAAATATTTTCCCCTCATTCTCTCTCTTTCTCTCTCTCTCTCCCACCCCCACTCTCTCTTTATTGTTTCTAACAAAGGAGATATTCAACCGGTTCTTAATTTATATGATCAACCTGTGGAATCTTTACAGTTCTATTATAACGTATAGGATAGATGGTTATTGGGATGAGTCAAAGAACGATGGCGAAAGTAAATTGAGTAAAAGCCTCTGTCCCTTAAAATGAAGGTTAGTGAACCCTTTTCTCTCTTGGTAATTGCGCCACAGGGTAAGATAATGGGTGGTTAGGCAGGTAGGTTGTTAGATATCGCTATCTTTGACCCATGTACTTCTCAGAAAATGCACATAAGCGTTCTCGTGCCAAGGACGAATATGCATACACGTGTACTACTACTATCGTGTAGGTGTTAGGTCTTAAATCTTATCTTGGTAACTTCGTTCAAATGGAATAGAAAAATAATACTTCTTTTTTCTTTTTTTTTAGCCCGTTCCTTGTCGATTTTTTCTTTTTATATCTTTTTTGAATTGAACAATGAGTAAGATATGAATAATTAATTTAATTATAAAAGATTAAAATCAAGAGACTAATAGATTAATTTATTAGTCGATGAATAATTTTCATTGTCCAATAGACGTTTTGTTGTTTCTAAACTATTAGATATATATATATATATATATATATATATATATATATATTCGTTGAGTATGTTTGATAGATACAATGATTGTAAAAATGGTAAAAAATTTTATTCCTTCAGTTGGCATTTGTATAAATTTGTTGTATCTCGAAAGCTATAGAACAAAATTGTTTATTTGTACAAAAATTGTTTTTTTTTGCAATATACGTACTAAACATATTTATGTTCTAATGAATTAGAATAGATCTAATTTCTTAGACGACAAAATGTCTGTGTTTTGGAGATAATTTCTGTATAGAAGTGTCTACAAAAATATCACGAAAACTAGAGTTGATTTGACGAAATCAATGCTATTTTTGAAATCAGCGCTTTAAATATAACTTAGAATAAGTTCAACTTCCAAAACATCAGATCAAAACGTGTTTCTTTTTTTATTTATTTATTTATTTTTTTGTTGTTGCTACGTAATCGATGTTTTAATTAAAAAACAATTAAAAAACGTTTTTTTTATCTAGGATATATATATTATATCGTATAATTATATCAATTTTTCATTAAAATTTTTTATATTATTTATATTTTATTTATATATTTATATATTTTTATATATTTATATATTTTTAATTATATTTATATAATTTTTTATATTATTTTT